AGTGCAATAGATAACGTTTCCTGAAGTTTGATCACGAACGTTTTCCATCCCCTGTCGGCTGTTTGCTCGTTTGTATATTATATTTGGCCAAGGGATTTCAGAAATACACAGACTGTCAGATTTTTTTCCATCCCTTCTAGTGTTGAAAGTAATGATCTTTCACTTGCTTTTCTTGCTTTCAGGAAAACGAATTTTGAAACCTTTTTTTGCTTGCCAACTGGGAGAGATCAGACTGAGTATTGCAAAATAGTAAACAATGGAGCTTGATTTGGAGGCTATGTAAATCAGAGTCTGAAATCCTGGCCCTGTTTTGAAGTCTATGGCAGAATTCCCACTATTCTTAATGATTCTGCACTCGCTGCCAGTGTTGCCGCTGCCAGGCGGCGCCCCGCTGCCTTGGGTGGCAGCGGCTGCTCGTGGCAGAGCGCGACTGTGCGCAGCGTCTGTGTAGGCAGGACCAGAGGCTGCAGCTGAAAAAACCTGGGAGCAATCGAAAGCGTTCCTGAAATTGGTGAAGTGTTTCCGAGTCTGCCTTTATCGTTAACTTATTTTGAAAGATTTGGGTGTTTTTTGGGGGTGCCTTTTTTTGTGTTTGCATTTTAGTCTGATCTTGGATTTACCAAAGACAGGCCTATTTTGGCAGGCGGTGATCTGGCAGTGATGTATCGGACATGCTGGCCAAGCGTCCTTGTTGTTTTATTTTAAGGGGAGAGGGCAGGGAGGAAAGAAGAAAGCACGCTTCGCCAAAGTTTCGTCTGGAAACTCTGCCACTCCGGACAAGAGTAACTGCTGAGGAGTTGAACTGTTCCACTCGGTGTGGATCAGCTGAATAGTAGCCAAAGCTTTTTTTTCTGCCCTTTTCAGTTATTCATATCACTCCCACCACAACAGCCTTGAGGAGTTACATTTTTTGTCTGTGTAAACCCAAAAGACACTGTGTCTATTGACCCTGCTGCTGTTTCTGGAATGCGTCTTAGAAAATTGTTCTCAGCAAAAAAATGTCCTTCTTTCTTTATCGTCATTGCAGGCTGAAATGGCAGAAAATGTGCCCTCCCCCCCAATTTCTCCTACACTTAACTACCAGTTTTCTTTCATATGGAACCTGATTTGGGGGGAGAAGGTGTATATGCAAGTAACGTAGTACAAGAATATGAATTTTTTTTTTTTAAATACTCTGAAGCATCATGTAATGCATGGCAATGTGCTAGCATTTTCGCACTCCTGCAAGATGGGCAGTGCCCAGTAAATGTGTGAATATCCTCTTTCTGTGTAACTTGTTAACTTTTCCTTTTATGAACTCTGGTCAAAGGTAAATGTTTTTGATTTCAGGTCAGTATATAAGGCTTTAATAGCCTTAATAATTGCATGTTTGCAAGGACTGTTGAGAACTCTCCCTATCGATAATTCTTGTATCGCGTTCTGTCACGTACAGTGACTGTCCCTACAAAGTTGCATCACGTTGTCAAACTGCAGAATTTTTCAAGCCTATGTTATACAAGTGACAAGTAGGTTCAGGCTAAATACAAAATTTAAAAATTTAAAACTGCCTTTTTTCATCTTCCCTCAAATACCTTGAATATATATGCCATTTTCTGATTTTTCCCTGATGCAGAGAGGAACCTCATTAATTCCCCCTTTAAAAGGGGGAGCGGATGTGTTTTGGTGCATTACAAGTACCTAGTCTTGGCATCTCCCTTACAACTGAGATAAATCTGGCAATCTGCAGAAGATCTGGATTGTGGCTTCACGTGTGCCGCTGGAAACCCCAGCACTTGCTCAGTCATCCCTGCCTGGTTAAAAGGAGAGGGGATGTTGACTGAAAGCTGCATCGCAATATCATCCTCCCATATCTGAAGTTATGGTCTAATTTTCTAGAGACTGGGTATTCCAAAGCCTTGCCTCCAGAAAATATCATTCAGATCAAATATTTTAAAGTTAATTCCAAGAAGTCTGAAAAAGACCCTCTCTGAAGCCATCTGCGTGCATGAGCAAGCAGTAAAGATGACAACACTGTATCTGGAATTTATTTTCTGCGAAGCTCAACTATAAATTGCTCCTAAAATACTCTGTTCCCTCCACACAGCTCCTGTGACTCCATGCGTACTCTCAATGTTGAAACTTAACATCATCATTTCATTTTTATTATTCTGTGCTTCCAACGGAGTACAGGAGCCTAGCTATAAAATAAAATCTCTTAATACTAAAAGTGATGATGTTAGAGTAAGCGACACAGTCAAATGAAGTCATAAAAAAAATTCCAGGCTTTTTTATATATTTTAAGATCAAAATATCTCACTGGAAAAACATTTAAGCTGTTTCAAGCTTGCCAAATGCATAAAATGGCCAGGAGAAGCAAAACATCGCTGGGGCTCTCATACAAAAATTCTTGTTTTTTGGAATGTACCCAATTTTACTTACTCATCTGCTGTCTCCTTTTATTTGGGGCCAATTAAAATAGTTTTGGAAACTGAGAGTCTACTCCTGTATACATTTAGCTCCGAGTTACTTTGCTCCTATCCGGCTAATGAGCTTGCTCCAGAGAATGAACTCTGATAGCTTAATGTTTGCAGGATCTGGCTCAAAATGTGCAATAATGGATTTCTTGTTTTTCTGTTTCAACAATAGAGTTGAGGGACAAATTCCTGAGTTGCACTATTTCCAAAAAAAGAAGAAGAAGAAGAAAAAAAAGACAGCTGGTATAAGTGGGCTTGGGCCTTCCATCGAAGTCGGCTCAAACAATGGGTCGCTCTTAGGTAGTTGAAGAGAATGGGCCTCACAAATGAGTATTGATCTGTAGCAGCTGGGTCCTGAGGAAGGGGCTGGGAGACAACCGTACATTACTCTGACAGCTGTCAGACTTTCCATGGCTGACTTTGTTTTGCTGGTATATTTGTGTTTGTTGTACAAGGCTGTATTGTTTTCCACTCACGTTCAATGTAGCTCATACGAGTGTGTGGATGAGAAAATTTAATAAATTTTAGAGCACTCAGGCACAAAAAAAATGGTACAGCTTCTTGGAATTTCCTTGCTGCAGGTAAATTTTCTGAGGTTTTGTATGTTCCCTTTACAGGAGTCAGTGGTCAGTTTAAAATCCTGGTGGGACTTTTTTATGGTTCATTTATTTGGTTATAGTCACAGTCTTTTCCATGTAATGCTACTGTTTCGTCTCCTGTTATGCACCCTGTTCCCAGCATTTTCTCACCGTGCTTGAATTATTCCTTTTGTAAAAAGAATGTGAAGGGGACCTAGGAAATTCCTACAATTGACTGTGCTTGCAAAAGCAATAACCGAATTGAGGTGAAATAAATTATTAGGTGAGAGGTGTGAGCTGGAGAAATGGGAGGGAAACCTATTTCTTTGAGATTTGAAGCGTTCTGGCAGAACTCGCTGCCTTCCAGTTATGGTTACTAAAATGTTCCACGATTTGGTATTTCAAGGATTTATTGTCAGGAAACTATTGTCTGCTTGGAACAGTTCAAATGATAACCTAATTCTGAACCGTTTTTAATGGTAGCCCCCTTCTTAGACGATGTTAACATCATTTATTGAGCTGTTTTCTCTGAAACACCCAAGAATGCTTTAAAAAATTTTTAAAGCAGTCTTTCCTTCTCCGTTCTTAAAGGGATTGTTCTGGAATTGAGGCAGTGATTGAAACATGGTGTTCGAGAAATCTTCTCAGCGCTGGTCCCGGGTTAGGTAGACATTCGACAAGCGAACGCAGGATGGGGAACGAAGGCCTATGGGTGCGGGGAGCTGTGCAGAAAGGAACGAGAGAGAAGAGCTTCTGCCTGAAGGCCAACAGCAAGGAAGGAAAAGGCGGCTAAAATAAACAGATGGGATAGACAGCAAGGGAATAATGTTGGGCAGTGAAACAGATGACAGAAGGCCTTAGGAAGAAGAATTTGTAAAGAGAGATCTGCAAATATAAAAGGGTCACTCAGGGACAGATTGTTCTAGGAAAAGAAGTGAGGTTAATTGCCCAGTGCTCTCCTATGTTAAGCTGGGTAGCAAAGCAAATCGTCTGCGTGGGTAAAAATAGGAAGGGAGTTGTGTCTCGGCTGCTACTCAGGCTCCCCTTTCCTTGCGCGGTTCGTGCCAGCCCTGTTCAGGGAAGTGTACGTATAGGAACTGTGCAGAGAGCACTGCGGGAGCATGAATTAAGATGTTCTGTCATGGTGATGTTGGCTAAAGAATGGGAAATGCAACAAAAACGGCCTCCTTGTCCTTCTCCCCTCTCCTTTCCCCAAAAGATACTGCTAGCTAACGGGCAATTAGTTCATTAGAAAAAAGCAGGTGCCATCCAACAGGGCGTAAAGTGGAGTGAGAAGAGTCTGTAAGTGTACAGAAAAAGTTTGTGCCCCTACGCGGGCTGCTAGCGGGGCAGTTTTTTTTTTTTTTTTTTTTTTACTGTACTGCGTGCAGTAGGGAGAGAAGTGGTTTGTGAAATGCAAAATGGCTCATGGAAATAACACGTAACAAAAGCGAGGATCAGCTGCTCCAAGCATAATGAGAGACCTGCTAGTTGGGGAAACGGGCGTGTTTTCTGTCACAGATCTAGTAGGCTTAATCTTTGTTTAACATAGATGCAGGATGACAGGAGATGTTCATTCTGAGGGCACATCTAAGCTGTGAGAGTTGTTACTTCTAAGGCAAACTGGGAACGCAAGTTTCCATATGCCACATTTTCTCTGATTTAACTGAAAATTCTGAATTTTGAAAGCAGATGTGTGTGCTAGTTTGACAAAGGGCAAAGCCATGCCACGTTTGACAGAAGAACGAGGACTGAAGTCGAGCAGTGCATGCTGGATCCTTAAGCCTGAAGTAGATGAAACACGTTACAGGGAAATAGGAATAAACCGAAAGTGGAAGTGTTCAGAGCCCCATATGCTAATGTTTCTGTACTGCCTGTTGGCAAGGATAGCTACACTAGGAGCAGTGCAATGCAATGCACTTTATTTCCACATAATACAAATTCTGAATTTCTTTTGGTGTTTCTTTAGGCAAGACAGCAAGCCCAGCTGCGACATCAAATGGCAGAAGACAGCAAAGCAGAATACTCTTCCACTCTACAGAAGTTCAACAGTGAGCAGCATGATCATTACTACACGCACATACCAAATATCTTCCAGGTGAGGGCCTTTGGCATGAATCTGGAGTAGGCCATGTTCCTCTTGTGATAAGAAGAGAGGGATGTATTGCACATTGGTTCAATTCTATGACCCCGTCTTTTACTCTGTGTGGGTTTTGTCTCTGTTAGCAAATTTTATTTGCAATTTACCAATCCAAGAGCTGGAGAGCTTGGTGTGATAAATTGTCTCTGTCTCTTAAACTAGCTATCAAGTGATGGGTAATATATGAGGAAGGAGACGTTGGATTGTCATGACAGATTACAGTAGTCTTTTTGGAGTTGCTCAGTCTTGTTCTATTAAACTCTTGTGTCCATGCAGCTGGGGAATGAGAGCTTTATTTGCATTGCTGGGGCAGAAGTCAGCTGGATGTGCTTACATCTGTAAAGCCTCACAGTCCTTTCTAACCTCTTTTCAAACCAGACTTCACAGATGTTTAGATTTAAACCACAACAATTCTGTGATAGTGTCAGGATTTAAGTAAGTTTGCTGATTATGTCTTAGGATACTTAAAGACTGCAGAGAAAGAACAAAAAAGCCATCAGATCTATACTGACTGAAGATCCAAGTTTGTGCTTGAACAAAGAGAGAGTAATGTAGTGGAACAGAGGTCCTAAATGACTGTTGCATTGTAACGGGTCATAAGAACCAAGAAGTGGAAAATATAACCTCTTAAAGAGAGAAAATGTTGCATGTTTATCATCTGATCAGAAATAACCGATATTTGCATAGCAAATAGACATTTGCTTACTTGTAACTTGAACTTTTTAGTTAAATGGGCATCTGCTTGTTTGCTTCATGATCTTTCGTACTAGAGGGCCGAGATAAATTATTCCTGGCATCACATACAAACTTCTTGCAATTTTTTTTGTATTTAATACCAAGTCTGGTAAGCACTCTGATTTGTAGATGCACACCTAAAGTTCTGCAGAAATATCCTTTTCACTACCAGTGCACCAGAAAGCTCCAATATTTTGTGTTAAGTATTGAAAAAATAACAGTTGCTTTTTAGCAAATTATGTCTGTTCTTCCCTTTAATTGTTGCAGTTTGTTGTTTTTGTTGGCTTCTGGGTCAGTCAAGGTTACGCAGATCTCTTTTTTTTTTTTTTTTTTTTTTTTTTTTAATTTGACAATGTTCCATCAGATCCCTGCAGCCTAATGTGAAACAGGCAGTTCTTGTTCATGCCCTTTTGTACCCTGTTATAATCTATCGTAATAGTGTTATGCCACGTCCGCTTTCCCTGTGTTCTAAACCTTAAGTCTGTGGGATAGATGCTGGAGACCACAGCCCTGAATCTAGAATATGTTGAGGAGGTTTGGTGTAAACAATACATGAAGTGTAGGACTACCTGCAAAGCAAGAATTCCCCCCCCAGGGGAAGGGGGAAGCGGGTGGGATCAAGTTTTTGGATTGTTTGGGTTCTCTAGTTGAATGAAAATAAGATCTTTCAGAACATGCCACGAAAAAGGTAAAAGCGTTCACCTTTCCAGAAATTTCATTAAAGCCTTAGGAGCCATCCTTACAGAAGTCTAAGGCTGAGATTTTGACAAATCAGCATTTTCTAACATCAAAAGTTAATTGAAAAATTCCTGGTTACAGTAACACAGAATACTTTTAGAATAGCATTTTGATGTTTGATGGAACGATGTAAGCTGCTGCCTTTGTGTGAGAGCAGCTGTCCTAGTTTCTGTTCTTAAAAACGTGTTTAACTCATAAGTTTAAAAGGCACCGATATATGTTAGGGAGAAAAATCAGTTGAGACTGTGAAGTTTGATACTTGATCAAAATCAAATGTGTAATGTTCTAGAAAATACAAGAAATGGAGGAAAGAAGAATCGTGAGGATAGGTGAATCCATGAAAACTTTTGCAGAGGTCGACCGCCAAGTGATCCCTATCATTGGAAAGTGTCTGGATGAAATAACCAAGGCAGCAGAATCAATTGATCACAAGAACGTAAGTGTTGCGTTATTTGAATTGTTGATTGTTGTCTTTACTACTGATCACTTCCTGTATGGTGACTTAAATCCTGGGTCCAAGCCACAGTGTGAGGGCTCTGAATCATAGAACTAAAACAGGGAATAGGTTCTTGTTCCAAATTGCTTTGTCTGATGCACTGTTAGGATATGCTCAGGTTATTTTCCAAATCTGCTTAACATGCAGAAATGCATCTATTGACATGCCATTTTTTTCCCTCATTTTTTTTTTTTTTAGAAATACTCTCTCTTTTTGGTAGGCTTACTACTTTTTGAGGTACTGTTATTGAAAAATAAGCTTCTTTCTAGAATGATGAGAATGGTGGACATCATTTCCAGATATCTAATCATCACCAATTCTTACACAGATGAGTTTTCTTTATAATGGTCAGACAATTCGATGTTGCAGAAACATATTTATTTCAGCTCTTCGTATAATAATGGAAGTACTTACAGTGCTGGCTGCATAAATAATTGAGTACAACTTTGGCATAATTTGCTACTTTACTGTAAATTTTTCCTTTGAAATTTTGAGACTTACTGAACATTGTTGTAGGATTTAAAAAAAAAAAAAAAAACAAAAATAAACTTGGCCGATGAAGAGTTTCCTGATGTACGGTCAGCACAAGGGTAAATGTGTTTTCTGTTCAGTTTTCAAAATGATTTGCTCCCTTCGTAAATGAAGTCTCTGCCTGCTCTTTCAACCCTTCTCATGGATCACATTAGTGCTTCAAATACGAACAGCATGCGTCTTGCTGGCTGTTTGAGTTTCCCATACATCTTTTTCACTGGAATCCTTTCTGTGCTATTCATCGCCCGGAGCCTGGAGACAGCAGTTAATTGGCAGCATAAGCCTTAGGCTGAGGTTTTGAAATGAATCCATTACTTTCTGCTCAGCAGTTGCTCTCGCAGAGAGCGGCATGGGAAACCAAGGAATATGGAAGTTACTGTTTCTTTTGGGGATAGAAGAAGGGGTGGGGGTTGAGACACTGAAATTCAGGTTAGAACAATGTACCCCTTTGGGGTACAATTCCTGGCACCGCATGTTGAAAATCGTGTTAGGGTGAGATTCATACCTAGGCCTACACCCTGCTCTAAACCTTTAGAGTGGCCTTCAGTGAAATGCCCAAGGTTTAAGCTGGATGTTTGAACGAAGAGGAATCTTGCATTCAAACCGGTCCTTCTCCCTTGCACGCAGATATGTCAAAATGATGGTTCATGTGCACAAGTGACGTTAGGACAAGATAGTTTTGAGCACTGATAACAACTAAGGGATATCCTATAAACACTGTGCTAACAAAAATGTATTTAACTACATTTGTTGCATCTGAGCAATTAAAAGGGTTTAGCATATTCTATCTGGAAAACACTTATGACCACAAAGGGTTCTTTTTTCTTCTCAAATATCAAGGATTTTTCATCTACTGGAACAGTGGTTTCTAACTTACTTGGTTCCTGTAAAAGTGGTGTGCCTGTTTCTGCCCTTTAACAGGATGCAGGTCCTGCTGCTTTATAGGAACGGCCGTAGGTGCCTCTGTAGCAGTTTAAATCTATCACCTTCTCTATTTCCAGATCATATTCTACTTTGTCCAGTGATGCAGCCTGTCCCATCTCGACTCTTAAAATTTTAAGAAGCAAGTTTTGGTACTCTCAGGCTACCAGGAGAGTTTCTCCTTCTTCTGAAAAGATTCAAATTGAAGGTTGTCTCCTTTACTCATCTCTTTGAAGCCCGGAAAAATTTGGATAGGAAAGTCTAATGAGATCTGAGCTATAGTCAGCTTTGAATATGAGGTCGTACTCCAGAAAAGCTGAATGCAAGGACAGCTGATGGTAATATAGTTAGCACAACAGTGAGTAAAACCAAGAGCCTGCAGAGCAGGAAGCGTGTTGTGTGAAACTTTGGGCCCACACAGACGTGTGTTTCCAAGCTGGGAAATCTCCAGGATCTGGTAATCACAAAAAACACCACTATAGTATCACCAAACTTGAAATGTATGAGTTACCTTACAAACAGTGAAACTGATACGAAGCAGTGACGTATGTGAAGTTCTTATTTAACTCTTGCCTGCTGTTCTTTGGTTCTGTTTTTACTTTTTCTGCCCAGCTATCGCATTCAGAATTACTGAAGAAGGGGAGAGGGTAAATGAAATCTCTGCTCCTTAAGCATTATTAACATCAGTTCAGAATCCAGGGCTTTAAAAGCAATAACAAATACAGGAGATGTATTGGTCAGCGAGAAAAATATTACAGAGGAAAGCACTAGTTCTAGCATGTTGCCTTGTGTACTGAACTATGAGTCGACTCTAGCTGAAAGGATGTAAAAACCTAAGTTCTGCAACATTTTTCAGTAAAAGATTACCAGCTGATGGCAAAGTTTTACTGTTTTAAAAAAAAAAAAAAAAAAAAGCAGCTTTTTGGCATTCTATTTTCAGCTGTGGGTAAGTTTATTACAAATATTGGCCTGTAAAAGTGGAGTTTCTACTGCATCCATGAACCCTGCTGATCTATAGCATCAGAACTGTGCAGTACAATAGCAAGTAAGGATGAAGTTCTACAGTTGCATTAAAGCTATGGAACTGCAGGCTGCCAACAGCAGGCCCCCTTTCCACTGCCAGCTCTGTGTTCCCCCCCTCTACTGGTACTAGCAAGACCCCGGATATCCCTTCTATCCAGAGCCCCTCTTTCATTTGATGATGTTAGAACCAGAATAAATGGAATAAATTTAATATTTTGTAATATTTAAGCTGCAAAAAGGATGAAGTCTTGCCTCATGCCCAACTTGCAAAACAGCCAAACTTTTAGGCTTGGTTTTACTCCATTTGCAACTTTAAATAGGATTGCTTTATGGCCTCTCTGAAGCATGTAGAACTCTCGCTAACACCAGTGGAAGCCGTCAGAATTTAGCTGGGAGTACTGGCTAGCTCTGTGTTGCTAATACGCTTATAAATATGCTGCTTTCCCATCTCCTTTTTCTAACAACTCAGGCAAAGCAGAGGTCTTATTTCAAGGGTAAGCTGTAGTGACTGTTAAGTGAACCAATGCAGAACTTGCTTCTGAAAGCTCTAGCAGCAGATATAATTAATTTGTTCTGGATTTCAGAGTTCCTGTTAGGACATTACCTCTTTCTGATACATGGTGCATGCTGGTTATTTTTAGCCCCATTGTAGTGAAAGGATGTTTTGAT